ATTGCCATGGGTTAGGGGTGTCTCCAAGATGCTGATTGTTCTCACTCCTAAAGAAACCCTAAGGGCCTGACCTCTTTGCCCACAGGCTCCCCTGAGATCTGACCCAGTCACTTTTCTGGAAGAGAGGGAGCCTAGGAGGGGGAGGACTGTAGAGAAGGAGTTGAACAGGAAACCTGAGCACCTGTCAGGCTCAGATCCCAGTCAGCTGTACAACCTTGGGGGAAGCAGTTGACCTTTCTGGGCAGCTGCCTCCTGTTGGGGAGGGGATCCTCACCAAGCTTGCCTCACAGAGATGGGACGGTGGAACCAGAGAATTTTAAATCATTATTTCAGTCAATAAATACTCCCTGGTACCATCTCTGTGCTGAGCCTTGAGCTGTGTATGGACAACACAGGATATCAGATCAGTCCGGAGCCCCAGTTGCTGACAGAAAGCTCAGGGGACCCGTAGCCCTCTCATTGATATGCAGGAGTCTGAAGTGAAGAGGAACTCAGGAGAGTTTCTAGGAGGTGGCACAACTTAACCTGAGCCAAGGGACGGTGGGTTGGCTTGGGGGAACAGAGACAAGCAGAGAAAGCACCCTAGGGAGAAAAACAGTCCAAGCCAAGACACTTCCACTAGATGCATCAGAGAATAAACACACCCTCAGACTCTATTTGACATACATTTATGAACACTCACTGCACACTGACAACCCAAGATAGACATGGCTGTTCCTCCAAAGAACATACACCCCAAAATGACTCACTGACCTGGTTCCAGCAGCACCTGCACAGTGGAGGGGAACACCTACAGAAGGAGTGGAGAGGGGGAGAAAGGCTGGGTATAGGCCAAACAAGCAGGCAGATATTCAATTTACTGATATCCACCACGAGCATACTATGTTAGGGGATGGAGAATATAGAGAAGGATTAAATGACATAGGAATTAATGAGTCCCAGAAGAGCAAAGTGTTGTCTAAGGTCACAGAATGAAAGTGTGGCAGGGTGGATGCTAGGTCCCCAGATCCACAAAAGTGACATGGTTTTTTCCCATTTCCAAGCACTTTCCATTCACTTTATCACAACAACCCTGAGAGACCAAGAGAATCAGAATTCGGAAATCTACCCACTTAACAGAGGAGGAAGCTGACAGCCCAGAGATACAGAAAGGGGCCTGAGGTCCCCAGACCAATCCTGTCATCTGCTCCTGGCCTCAGCTTCCTGGGGTCGGGATAAGACTTCCTTGTGGACTGGACCCTCTCAGAGGCAGCCCAGCACCTTGGACAGAGCCCTGAGCCTCGAGCCAATCACCAGTTGTGCCCAAATCCCTGGCTCTCTGGCCTGTTTCCCTTATTTGTACACGTGTTGTTAAATAACATTGAGTCAGTTCTGATTCACAGTGACCCTATGTACAACAGAACAAAACACTGCCCGGTCCTGCACCATCCTCACAATCATTGCTACGTTTGAGCCCACGTTTGCAGCCACTGCGTCAATTCATCTTGGGGAGAGTTTTCCTCTTTTTTGCTAACCCTCTACTTTACTGAGCATGATGTCCTCCAGGGACTGATTCTTCCTGATAACATATCCAAAGTATGTGAGAGGCTTCTAAGGAGTATTCTGACTGTACTTCTTCCGAAAAAGACTTGATCATTCTTCTGGCAGTCCATTATAGCATGGGCCATTCAATGTTCTTTCCAACACCATAATCTGAAGGCATCAGTTCCTCTTCAGTTCTCCTTATTCACTGTCCAGCTTTTACGTGCATATGAAGTGACTGAAAGTATCATGGCTTAGAGGTCAGGCACACCTTAGTTCTCAAAGGGACATCTTTGCTATTTAACACTTTACAGAGGTCTTTTGCAGCACATCTGCCCAGTACAATATGTTGTCTGATTTCTTGACTGCTGCTTCCATAGGGGTTGATTGTGGATCCAAGTAAAATGAAATTCTTGACAACTTCAGTCTTTTCTCCATTTATCATAATGTTGCTGGTTAGTCCAGCTGTGAGGATTTTTGTTTTCTTAATGTTGAGGTGTAATCCATACTGAAGATTGTAACCTTTGATCTTCATCAGTAAGTGCTTCAAGTCCTCTTCAAGTCCTCTTCACTTTCAGCAAATTGTGTCATGCATATCACAAGTTGTTAATGAGTCTTCCTCCAATCCTGATGCCTTGTTCTTCTTCATATAGTCCAGCTTTTCAGATTATTTGTTCAGCATACAGACTGAATAAGTCTGAATAAGTACAGTGAAAGGATGCAACCCTGATACACACCCTTCCTGATTTAAAACCATGCAGGATCTCCTTGCTCTGTTCAAACAACTGTCTCTTGGTCTATGTACAGGCTCTGCATGAGCACAACTAAGTGTTCTGTAATTCCTATTATCTATAATGTTTATGCATATAGTCGACTGCCTTTGCATAGTCAATAAAACAATTATGTACAACATAGTTGCTGTATAGTCCTTAGGCATCTGCTGATTCTAGGTTCTCTCTGGACTTCTTTTTCCAAAATGAATGGTCCAGCAACCCCCACTTCAAGGCTGCCTAACCTAGGGGGGCCATCAGCCAATGAGGGATCAGCCACCATGGGGGTCTGGGGAAGGGGCTCTGGACTTGACAGCTGTTCTGTGGTTCCTTAAGAGCTGGAGGCAGAAGGGGTTTTACACAGTGATACAGGGAAATAGAGACCTCTCCATTCATTCATTCACTCATCTACAAATGTTTACTGAGCACTCTCTTGTGTTAATCCCTGTACTGGGAACAAAACAATGAAATAAGACCCAGTGCTTCCCACTGGAGAAGTCAGAGCTTGGGCTTGTGCTAACATGACCAGTGGCAGGGGGAGTACACCAGCTGAGGGCCCAGCCCCAAGGGCTTGAGCACTTGTACCCAGTGAGAAAAGACCACCAGCCTGTTATCTCCATAGACCAAGGGTATAGTGGAGGGCAAGAAGGAGTGGGCTGAGTGTGTTGGCCAGTCTCTGGGGGCATGTGCTTGCCCCCTAAGAATGCACCCAGGAACGTGCATGGACCTAGAAGAGTACATGTTCAAGTATTTTTGTACATATGAGTCTATGAACACATACCAGAATACACTCAAACCTATGTTCATATGTGCATATGTATGACTGAGCCTGCAAGTACTTGATGAGGAATGTCAGAGACCATATGGAACTGTACACAAGATTATGCAAGCTTTCCCATGCATATATACACACATTTAAATATGTATGAATCTGTGTTTACTCACATATGGACACATCCGATCTGTTTATGTGTCAAGCTTGCCTCTACATGTATAAGCATATGTGCATATATAACTTTACATATATATATGTACACACATGTCCAATTCTGCATATTTAAGTTACCAATACCCGGGAGAGCTGTGATGGGGATGGGGGAGAGTGACAAAAAGAAAGAGAAGAGAGGAAGGGGCCCCTTAGCATTAACAGCCATTGGCTGTTGATTCCTGCCCCAGACCCAGGCCACTGCAGGGTCTGCCTCTTCTCTTTAAGTGGTATTGATTCCTCGGTCGATTTGTTAAATATAACCTCAGGGAAGGAGCCAATGTAAAAAGCATCCCCAATTCAGCAGAAAGAGACTGACTTGATTCTTGGGGCAGGGGAGCCTCTATCACAACCAGCTCTGCTGATACCAGAATGGCCCAGAATGGCTGGAGGAGGATCAAGTGTCAACCTCTCCAGGCTGAATAATTAATTCATGACAAGACCAGGAGTGCTCCATTCTCAGGAGTCTGTCTCTTTAAATCTGGTCCAGCGCTTCCTAATTCGGGGGGGGGGGGGGGGGGGGCCAGAACAAAACAAACCTATAAACAGCTCAGCCCTCACTCCAGCCTCAGGCCCCTCCTTCCTGCCAGAAAGTCCATTTCTGTTTTCCCAACCTCTAGAGCCCCAAACCCTCACATCCTATTCAGAAGGGTAGCTTGGAAGGAAGGAGGAGCAGGTTGACAGTGTGCAAGGGCTCCCAGATGCAATAGAAGACCCTAGTGAGGTGCCCAGGTACTGGTATAGGGAGAGGAAAGCAAAAAGCTGAATCACTACACCAACCTGGTCCCTGTGCCTAGGGGTGTTTGGGGGAGGAGTCTAGCCAGGTGGAGGAAACCAGAGCAGCGCAGCCCTGGGTTTAGAGGGGAAGGGCCGGGAATGACTTCCCCCAGGATGGGACAGTGTCGAGAAAAGGCTGATCCCACGGAACCTGCAGAGGTGGTGCCACAAGCGGGACTAACGGAACTGGGGTCGTTCGGGGGCCTGAGCTGGGGATTTTCCAGTCTCTCTCCTAGCAAAGCCCTTTCCTGATCACAGAGATTAAGAAGAGGTTGAAAACCCCCAACCCCGCCTCAGCTTAGGCGGGGGGTGCTCCAAAGTCCTCCCCTTCCTGGGGCTGACCCACCTGCCCGCTCTTCCCAGCCCGGACAGCCCCACGCGTGCCAGATAGGGAGGAGCAAGGAACTAGCTTAAATGTGGTGGTGTGGGTGGAGGTGAGAATGGAAGTGAAGTGGAGGTGGGAGTGGGGGCGGGGGCAGTAGAAGGGGAAGCAAGTCAGAGCTTTGGAAAGCCAAACTTCTCAGCAGCCCCGGGAGTCGGATAGAAGAGAAAACGCAAAAGCCCCGATTCTCGGGAGCCTCCCACCCCGCCTCCCGCGGCAAGGAGGGCGCGGAGACTCCGTTGGGGGCGGAGGAGGAGGCCTGGAGGCGGGGAGGGGGTAGACAAACCCTGCCCACTCGGCTCCAAGCCCGGAACGGCCGCGGAAGTCGGAGACCGGCGCTCAGGGCGAAGAGGGCACTGGGGGCGGGGGGCTCCGCTCCCCGCCTGACCCCCTTGCGCCCCCAGCCAGGAAACCAAAGGCTCCTCAGACTTTAGAGACGCCGACGGACCAACCGAGACTGCCATCCACTGCGCTTCACGGACTTGCCCCACCCGTACCTCCACGAGGTGCTCCCAACTCACTGGTGAGCGCGGCAGCACGGGCGCTGGATGCAGGGGCAGCCACGATGGCCCCGCGCGCGGGACAGCCGGGGGCCCGGGGACTGCTGCTGCCGGGGCTACTGCTCGTGGCGGCGGCGCTGAGCCGGCCCGCCGTGCCCTGCCCCTTCCAGTGCTACTGTTTCGCTGGCCCCAAGCTGCTGCTGCGCTGCGCGTCTGGCGCCGAGCTCCGACAGCCACCGCGGGACGTGCCGCCCGACGCGCGCAACCTCACCATCGTGGGCGCCAACCTGACCGTGCTGCGCGCTGCCGCCTTCGCCGGCGGGGACGCGGACGGGGAGGAGGAGAAGGCGGGCGTGCGCCTGCCGTTGCTAACCGCCCTGCGCCTTACGCAAAACAACATCGAGGTGGTGGAGGACGGCGCTTTCGACGGGTTGCCCAGCCTGGCGGCGCTCGACCTCAGTCAAAACCCGCTGCGCGCCCTAGGCGGTGCCGCCTTCCGCGGGCTGCCCGCGCTGCGTTCGCTGCAGCTCAACCAGGCGCTGGCGCAGGGCGGCCCCTCTCTGCTGGAGAAGCTGGACGCCGCGCTCGCCCCGCTGACAGACCTGCGCCTCTTGGGCCTGGCAGGCAATGCACTGAGCCGCTTGCCACCCGCCGCGCTGCGCCTGCCGCGCCTCGAGCAACTGGATGCGCGCCGCAACGCGCTTACGGGCTTGGGCACCGACGAGCTTCGCGCGCTGGAGCGCGATGGCGACCTACCCGGGCCGCGCCTCTTACTCGCCGACAACCCTTTGCGCTGCGGCTGCGCTGCGCGACCCCTGCTGGCCTGGCTGCGCAACACCACGGAGCGCGTACCCGACGCGCGGCGTCTCCGCTGCGCCGCCCCGCGGCCGCTGCACAACCGGTCTTTCCTGGATCTGGATGAGGCGTGGCTGCGCTGCACTGATGGCAATGCCGACGGTCGTGGGGAAGAAGTGGAACTCACAGGCCCGGAGCTAGAAGCCTCCTACGTCTTCTTTGGGCTAGTGCTGGCGCTCATCGGCCTCATTTTCCTTATGGTGCTCTACCTAAACCGCCGAGGCATCCAACGCTGGATGCGCAACTTGCGTGAGGCCTGCAGAGACCAGATGGAGGGCTACCACTATCGCTATGAACAGGACGCCGACCCACGCCGTGCGCCTGCCCCAGCTGCCCCCGCCGGCTCCCGCGCCACCTCCCCGGGTTCAGGCCTCTGAACTTCCCCTATCGGGGATTAGGGCCTGCCCCTGCCAGCTGATGATCTTTACTGGGGCTGCCCGGCCTGCTCCAGCCTGACCTGAAGCCGTGGGTGTGATACACCCGTGGTCTTGGGGCATTTAGACTTGCCCTTGACCGGCCTGAGATCTTTGAATCATGGCATTCCCCCCTCCCCCCAGGCTCCAGGCTGTCCTGCCTCTCCCTAGCCTCTGTGAGCTCCTACCATCACAGAACTAAGATACCTCTGTTGACTCCAGAAACCCCACCCTTCCATCCCAGACTCTGATACATCTCTCCTACATCAAAAGGGTGCCTTCTGCCCCTTTTAAGACTCACCAAGATACCCTGTCCTTCAAACAGGAAGCTCTGAGATGGCCTCCACTGACTTCTGCTTTGAGCCCCAACACCCTCAACACCATCTTCGGCCCTGCCCTGTCTCTAGCTGGAGCTCCCCTCCCAGGGCTCAGGGCCTCTCACAACATGTTCTGGTCTCTGAAGCAGAATACATCCATCAGAAGGTTTTTGTGGACGTTGAACCCTTGGCCCAGCCCCAGAGCTCTGAGCCTTCCATCCTGCATTGAAACCCACCTCCTGGGCTCCAGGGGGTCTGGCCCCAATCTGAGGATGTATGTCATACTCCCTGCCTCCTTCACCACCCACCACATCAGCTCTGGCTCTAGGCCCCTCCCTTAGCCAGGGCTTGGAGCTCAATTCCCAGAGACAGGCACACCCATTCTAGCCTTAGTGTGGAGCTGATCCTCACCCAGACATTCCCCACGAGGGCTCTGATCCCTCAATCCTCAGTGCTTGTCCTCAGTCTTAAACTCTGAACTTTTCACACCAGTCTGAAATTCATTCCCCTGCTTAAAACATAGGCTCTCCATTCCCCCCACTCCCATCACTTGTATACAGTATCCACCTCTGTCACTCACTAGGTCAAGGTGCAGTGAAGAATCTCACCGCTGGAATGTGCCCACTTCCCATCCCTCCCAGGATGAGCGCTCCAGTCCTGCAAGATGGTTGCCAAGCACTCCTACCACACACTAGGAGATCTTCATGGGAAGGGAGAAAGTCTTGGGGGTGCAGTATGGATGCTTGGACCTCAAGTCCAAGATTCATGCATCCATTGTGGCCTCAGAGGAGTGGGGAGAGAGCTCTGAAGGGCTGGGAGCTGCTGCCCACTGATTTTTTTCACCCTCTTTCCCACCCATTTTGGCTCTTTTATGGGGATTCCTTACCCCCACCTGTATGCTTTCTGGAAGAGGAAAGAGATCTCACCTCCTGTCTCAGGCACAAGCCCTCCTGTCCAGGGTCAGAGCCTCAGCACCCTGCCTTCTGCATGATCCCAAAGCACAATTGGTGAGTAGGGAGGGGGCTGCCTCTCCCTCACTTCCCACCCCTAGGTCAGGCAGAATGGCTGGCCTGTGCTGCCTCTGCACACAGGAAGTCACCTCCCTTCAACATACTGGCTTGAGGCCTATCTTCCCTCTCCCCACCCCAAAAATCTGGATCTCCCTTGGGCAGTTTTCTATAAAGTGTGCAATAACCTGCAATACTCTGTTCTTGTAAGTGATGCTGTGTCATTCCTGCTAACGGAGCGTTGATTGGATGGGGACATGTGAAAGGGTACTTTGGGCCATTCTGAGGTGGGGCAGTGACCCTTGATGTCTTCCCTGGAACTGTGGACCCTGATTGTACATGGCATGACTGAGGTTTGCCACATGGAGGGACTTCCCATTGGGATGGCATTGTGCTCCAAACTCAGTTTGCCTTTCGTTCTCTACCTGTCGAGACCAGATGGACAGCTATCAACAGCAGGGTGGGATCCTGAGCACCCTCTTCCCCTTCTGCTCCTCATCACTGGGGGGAGATGCAGGCAGTAGTTAGACTAATAAACACTAGCCTCAGACAAGGCTATCAGAAAGGAAATCCAGCCACTGCAAATCAGAGGCAGTTAATTCCTTCTGCAGTCAGACAGGAAAGATGAGGGATCATTTGCTGCTTTGGGATCATCCCCTTTGATGAATGACCTGATACTCCATTATGTCCTGGGTCATGCCCTACTCTCTGGCTTTTTGAGGGAAGGATGGGGGTGCGGGGAGAGGAGAAGAAAGCTGAGAGAAGTAGCAGCCTAGAGGGAGAGGATGTAGATAAAATGACCCCTTGAGATATATGGAATGAAGAGACGAGTGGGTTCTGGGCCAGTACCGCAAGAGTCAGGGGCTTATTTCCTGCCTCAGGTTCACCAGGCAGGCTTGTTATTGCATTCAGGATCACAAAGCCCAAGAACTATGTTACAGAAGTATAGAATTCTGGCATTTTTGAATTTTAAGGCCACATAATGCTAGTTTGTGCCTTCTAAAAGTTAGAAAGGACCTCAGAAGTAATATGGGAAGCCTCCCCAGCTGATTCAACAAGAGTACCCTCTCAGGGTGGGGACCTCCCCTTTCAGTACCAAAGGATTCTGCTTGTGACTCCCTGACAATCCCAGCTTTGCCTTAGGGCCAGGAACAAGCGTCACCCCACGACAGTCCTCCACAGGATGGAAGACCATGCTTGAGTCTCCTTTTCTTCTCCCAACAAATCCCCTCCCCTTCTCATAGTCATTCCTCATGTGAAAGAGTTAAATCCTTTTGCATGCCCATCTGCCAACCCCCCTAGGACAAAATGCTGATGATCTTTCTAACACAGGCTCACCTCCTCAGTTCCAAAGATGTGTCCTCTGGTAATACAACCCAAGACAAAAATAAGGCTTGGCAAATAAACATGTGATTAGCCTAGTTGTGGGTTCACTGTCAGCAAAATTCTTGGAGACTTTTTATATGTGGCTGCTAAGTATTAAACCAGTACGAATGAACTCACTGCCATCAAGTTGATTCCAACTGAAAGGGACCTCTGTTTGGGCTTCTGAGGCTGTAATTCTTTACAGAAGTAGATTGCCCTATCTTCCTCTCATGGAGGAGCTGGTGGGTTTGAACCACTGACCTTCTGGTTAGCAGCCAAATGCCTTACCTATTATGCCACTTGAGTGCCTACTGTTTGCCAGTTGATGTTTAACCTTGGTGCCACTGATGCCTATTAAGTGCCCTCTCTTGGCTGCTGTCTTGCAGCTTGTTAGTGGTCTTTGGCCTTGTGGGACTATCAACAGGTTCCCAGGGGCCCTCAGTCTTGACTCCTATGCAAATCCAGCTATTCATTCAACTTTTGCTGAATACGACTCTGTAACTCCTACAGAAGCTGATAATCTAGGAGCGCAGGGACCACATTTAATCAATGTCCAGAGACAAGAAATCCTGGGGAAATGTGAGAACTGAGATTAGGGGCCCCTGAGTAGTCAAGGTAGACTTCCTGAAAGACATTATATTTGAATTGGGTTTTGAGGGATGAGTAGGAGTTGGCAGAGTAGAGAAAGAGCAGAGAGATTGGTTTGTGCAAAGGTCTGGAGGCAGGAAGATCTTAGTCTAAAGATTGGAAAAGATGAAAAGATGAACAGTGGCTGGGGGTGCACAGGTAGAATGACGTGTGTGGGTAAGACAGGTCAATATTCTCCACATTCTGCCTCCACTGGGAGAAACTGGAGGGACCTCTGCCCTCTGCAGGAAGGAGGAGAAATCAGGGAAGTGGGGAGGTGGTATATGTGGGACAGGATAGCTGCACTGTGCTGCTTACCTATGCAGCTTGGTTGTTCCTCCCTTCTGCCTATCCTCTTAGTGCCAGGCCACATGCTGTGCACTGGAGACGTGGAGAGGAATCAGACCTAAGCTGTGCCAATGAAAGGTAAGACCAGCAGTGGGATAGGGAAAGGACCATTGTGGAAGCCCGAAAGAGACCTCAGGGAAAAAGGTGACATTGAGGGGTCAGGCTAGCCTTACCCTTACAGCCTGACACACCCACTCACTCTGTACCTTGCCTCAGCAGTGCCTAGGCCCCCCTGAATAGCCAGCCTCCCCCTCTGATCGCATGCTGGGTGAACAGATGCTCAGAGGTCTGGGGACCCAGGGCAGGGGTTGGCATGACCACCTCCAGGATGTTCCCTTAACAAGCATGTATGGTAGAGAGCAGGAAAGGGAGATAAAAGGTGTAATTATCCCAAAGGTGATAGATGAGAACAAGCTATACATTTTGAGAAACATGTCAGATTTAACTAGAAGTTCAGCTGTTCAAACCCACCAGGTGCTCTGCAGAAGGAAGATGGGGTAATCTACTTTGGTAAAGATTTACAGCCTCAGAAACCCAATGGGGGTTGCTATGAGTCACAGAATCCACTTGGTGGCAGTAAGTCATGGTTTGTTTCTGTTTTGTTTTTGGTGACTCTCTAAAACTAGTGTGATTTCTTTTCAAATTAGAAACCAAAAAACAAAGGAAAGCCACACTGGCCATTTCCTTGAGAAACATCTTGCCTGCCTATAACCCTCACAGCTGGGGTGGGAACTAGGCAAGACCCAGCAAGAAGAGTCCAAAGGACTAAATTTCAATCTAAGCTCAGCACCCAACTTGTCAAACCATTTGGTCACTATAAAATACTAGCTGAGTCCCTACCATGTAGTGGGTGTGGGTGATCCAGCAGTGGATGTGGCCAAGCCAGCTTCTGCCTGTGTGGCCCCAGTCCAAGGCTGTGTCCTTGAACAAATCCCTGCCCTTCTCTGGCTTCAGGTTCCTCTTCTGTCTAGGCTGGGGGCTGGGCTTATGACTTCCAGAGCCACTGCCTGTGCTAACTGAAGTCCGTCTCCTTCTTCATTAAGTCTCTGCCTGGCAGACTTGAGGCCCTAATTTATGGGCATGGCCTTTCCCAGACTGAGAGAAGTGACTGGGGCAGTTAATATCCCTTCAGTGTCCCCTCCTCCATCCCCTTACCACTCCCTCACAACCTCCACCCACTTTCCTCAGTGCTGCCTCAGGGTACTTAGCCGAGGGCTGGCCAACCCTATGGAGACCACCTTAACTGACTCTTCATTGTACTGGCCCCAGAGGATGGGAGGATGTCCCCCCAGGTTGTCCC